TTCAGAAATAAATATTTGCCTATTAGGCTAATATCTGTCTTGATGATACAGTAGATCTTAAAGTACAGCCTAATTTCTAACTCACCTCTTGGTCCTATCCTCATCCTGCCATCTTCCTGCTGCCTGCTCACTGTCCTCATCCTGCCATCTCCCTGCTGCCTGCTCACTGTCCTCATCCTGCCATCTTCCTGCTGCCTGCTCACTGTCCTCATCCTGCCATGTCCCTTCTGCCTGCTCCTGTGCCTTTCCTGCCTTCTGCTGACCACCACTTTCCTTCATACACATTAAGTTTGCAAAACTGCACCCATACTTTTAATGTAGTGTTCTGTAGCTCTTAACACTAATATTTCCTACTTACTCTTTTTTTTTACCACCAAAAAAGTGTCTGATGTCTCCATCTTCCCTTTTCCTCATATTGTGTCTGTGAATAAAATCTAATCTATGTATATTTAACAAAACAGTATCTGGGCTATCAGAAGAAGCTTCTAAAAATGTCTGTAAATATGAAATTGTGGAATGCAGAATCAATACCACTAAAATTCAAATAATAGGGCTTATTATTTGCTAGCTAGTTTTTTTACGTTGCTCCTATAGGTTTCACCTATAGTAATGTTTTTTCAGAGCATAACGTTAGACCTTCTTATGCGTTAACATTAGCCTAATAACAAACCACACAGGCTAAGTGGCGAATTAATTTCAGAAAGGCACAATTTATTTGTGATAAAATGAGAATGGATACATAGGGAGTTCATCTCCTTGGAAAATTACCATGATCGATTTTACCTCACCAAGTAAGCCTGGTTTAAATAGAGTACTTAGCTTATCTTGCTAGTTAACGTAACTAACATTGACTGTACCGGCGTTCTGTCCAGTTGAGCTACTTTGTCGAGGTAATCTATGGTTAGAGCTATCGATTAGCACTACGGTAGATTACCTCGGCAAAGTAGCTCAACTCGACAGAACACCGGCCTCAGAAGGACAATGGTGAGTAATTCAACTTATAAAGACGTCAGCTTGCATTAGTAGATGAAACACTTAAACGAATAAATGAAGGTTGTAAAATAACACATTTTCAACAGGCTAGACCTCTACTGGCTACTCACATTTACCAACGCACGACAAACAGTACCATGACAGACAAACACAATGAACAGGTCACTCAATGAGAATGAATGACGCAACCGACTGCCTGCTTCTAGCGCCGAGGTGGTTAAAATGGTACACTCCATGTTAGGGGTGACTGAAATCGTTTTACATAAGCTACATAAGCTACAAATGACTACAGAAATATTTTTAACAAAATGGTCTCGAATCACCTCCCATTTCCTTCTGAGTGATGCATGTAATGAGATAATCATGAGTGAAATAATTTGTGTGGATCCCTTTTCTGTATATCAGAATGGTACTGGATTGTGGATATTTGAAATCACCCATAGACAATGACAAAGTGGGAGAACATAAGGACTGTTCCTTGGGACATCTGTATATGCCTGTATTGTATCTTCAGATATTTTGATGTACCTACTGTATGACTGCACCTTGTGAAACTAAATAAAAACGAGTTCCAAAAAAAAAAAAAATATATATATATATATATATATATTTGGCCACCTTCTCAGTAAGTTGTTTTAAGGCTTCTTTTGAGAAGTGTTCCTTCATTTTCCTATTGCTGCTCATAATTGAATTTTGTTTACAAAGAAGCAATGTTACATTTTCAGCATATTTTTATATTTTCAACAAATCGGTTTATTTTGGTCTTGATTTTGGTTGCTTTGGTGTAATTTTATTGATTTTTGAATGAGTTTACAGTCGTGGCCCAAAGTTTAGAGAATGACACGTATTGGTTTTCACAAAGTTTGCTGCTTCTGTGTTTGTAGATCTTTTTGACAGTTGTTTGTATGGTACACTGAAATATAATTACAAGCTTTTCAAACGTGTCAAAGGCTTTTATTGACAATTACATTAAGTTTATGCAAAGAGTCAATTTTCAGTGTTGGCCCTTCGTTTTCAAGACCTTTGCAATTCACCCTGGTATGCTGTCAATCAACTTCTGGGCCAAATCCTGACTGATGGCAACCCATTCTTGCATAATCAATGCTTGGAGTTTGTCATAATTTGTGGGTTTTTGTTTGTTCACCCGCCTCTTGAGGATTGACCACAAGTTCTCAATGGGATTAAGGTCTGGAGAGTTAAATGGCCATGGCCCGAAATGTCGATGTTTTGTTCACCAAGCCATTTAGTTATCACTTTTTCCTTATGGCATGGTGCTCCATCATGCTGGAAAAGGCATTGTTCATCACCAAATTGTTCTTGGATGGTTGGGTGGAGTTGCTCTTTGAGAATGTTTTGGTACCATTCTTTATTCATGGCTGTGTTCTTAGGTAAAATTGTGAGTGAGCCCACTCCCTTGACTGAGAAGCAACCCCACACATAAATGGTCTCAGGATGCTTTACTGTTGGCCTAACAAAGGACTGATGGAACTGCTCACCTTTTCTTTTCCGGACAGTCAGTTCTCCGGATGCCCCAAACAATCAGCATGGGGATTCATCAGAGAAAATGACCCCAGTCCTCAGCAGTCCAATCGCTGTACCTTTTGCAGAATATCAGTCTGTACCTGATGTTTTTCTTAGAGAGAAGTGGCTTCTTTGCTGCCCTTCTTCATACCAGGCCATCCTCCAAAGGTCTTCACCTCACTGTGCATGCAGATGCACTCACACATGCCTGCTGCCATTCCTGAGCAAGCTCTGCACTGGTGGTGCCCCAATCCCACAGCTGAATCAACTTTAGGAGATGGTCCTGGCACTTACTGGACTTTCTCTGGTGCCCTGAAGCCGCCTTCTCAACAATTGAACTTCTCTCCTTGAAGTTCTTGATAATCCAATAAATGGTTGATGTAAATGCAATCTTACTAGCAGCAATATCCTTGCCTGTGAAGCCTTTTTTTGTGCAAAGCAATAATGACTTCACGTGATTTCTTGCAGGTAACCATGCTTAACAGAGGAAGAATAATAATTTCAAGCACCGCTCTCCTTTTAAAGCATCCAGTCTGCTATTCTAACTCAGTCAGCATGAAAGAGTGATCTCCAGCCTTGTCCTCCTCAACACTCTCAGCTGTGTTACCAAGAGAGTCACTGAAATGATGTCAGCAGGTCCTTTTTTGGCAGGGCTGAAATGCAATGGAAATAGGTTTTTGGTGATTAAGTTCATGTTCATGGCAAAGAGGGATTTTGTAATTAATTGTAATTCATCTGATTACCCTTCCATAACATTCTGGAGTATATGCAAATTCCCATCATAAAAACTGAGGCAGCAAACTGTGAAAATTAATATTTCTCAACAATTTTGGCCACTACTGTATAATTAATTTATATTTGCATATGTCTGGTGTGACAATCATATAACATATTTCACCATTGAAATACATAGGATAGATGTTGCTGTGATTTTCTTACGAGGAGGTTGGGGAGAAGCCAAAAAAGTACCACTCAAAGTCAGTTCTTTAATTCTGTTATAACTGGTTTCAGGAGACCTCTCTCGTTCGTTACCTACGCCACCCCCAGTTTGGCTTACAAAACGCAACCTTCTTCATGCATTTCCCCTTGAATTACCCACCTATAACCTATAAGTCATTGATTAATACATTGAGAAAGGCTAATGATTACAAAACCTATACTAGAAAGTCAGCAGCAAGGTAATATTTCAGAAACAGTGGAATGTGCAGGAAAGTATTTCCCTAGCACCAATCACGTGTTTCCGACCTCTTTTCCGATTAGTACACATAATGCCAATCAAAGATATGGGGCGGGTCGAAACAAGGAAATATATCCGAAGGCAGAAGTAACTTCCATTTGAGAACCTTTGAATGCATTGGGTAAGAGAGAGTATGTCTGTAATCTGATTGGCTCTCTCAAAGTTGACTATTCGACAAGGGCAGAGCCGAAAACTCTTGGCGGCCATGATGAAATTATAACTGGCAGTTATTCTAGAGACCTTGTATTGAAACAGTGGCATGTCATTTTACAAATCGTCTACGCTTTTTTGTTTTTACTTTGATTAGGGTATGGATCAAGAGGAGAGACAGCGAAAGATGAAAGCTGGACGAGCGAAGGTGTGTGTAGTCAGTGTATTCTTTGGCAGGTAGCTAATCTGATACCTGCACAGATGAGAAGTTTGGCTCGTATCGTGCTTGGGCTGTTACCATCTGACCGGTAACTAGATTTTGTAGTTATTTACAGCATGTTTATGGCTGTTTAGGTTCTTAAACTCCTAATTAGTCGTTTCTTTACTCCGTAAACTGAATTTGTTTATCTGAGTACAGGGTACCCGCGGTCATGGAAAACCTGGAAAAGTTTTGGAATTTTTAAATAATTTTCCAGGCGCTGGATAAGTTTTGGAATTGTTGGATAGCGAGGAAAAGTTTTGAAAACTAGCCTTGTTAATTTTTGTTTCCCGCTTCGTTCCGCACCGCGCTAACGGAAATGTACGAGCGGAAGTCAATAGTTAACTGCCTTATACAAATACTGTTCTACCTACTTAAGTTTTACAAACTTGTGGGTTTTGGAAATTTTTCTTATGGTACTGGAAAAGTCATGGAAATTTATTCTGCCAGAATTGTGGGGAACCCTGTGAGTAGTTCACGAACTCCAATCACGGACGGGAAATGATTGTAATCGGCACTTTTTTTGAAACGCGTGGAAAGTGCTAGGGATCCTTGTATGTAAACTAGTTAGCTAGTTAATTGAAAGTGGTTATCCGCTTGCCAGTGCATGAGGCTCGCTTGATGGTCATGTGAATGAAGTGCAGGACCGTGAAAGTTCCCTTTCAGGGCTGTCGCTCGAGGTGGTGTGCCGGCTGGTTTCCTCGGTCCTTACTTTAGGTACTTGACGCAGTTCAATGTAAGATTTGCACCTGCCGCCGGGATTTCTGCCTCAGATACACAGCACAGGAACAACAAAACAAGTGGAAGTAGGGCCCAGCAGTGAGAGACGCTAAACATGATCAGCGTATCTTTTTACTCACTTAACTCGTATACTGAATGAATATATGTTTTAGTGTGTGTGTGTGTGTGTGTGTGAGAGAGAAAGAGAGAGATATGAACGAGACAATAAAACCCTTGTGGCCTTGTAGTTACACATTTTTACGGTTTATTTAGCGGACGCTTAAAAAAATACAGCGACGTAAGTTTGTTAGAAAGCGGGAATAGACAGTTCCTGTAGCAATTAGGGTTAAGGGACTTGCTGAACGGTGTGAAATCACTCAGCTGACCTTGGGGTTTGAACCAGCTACTTTCTGATCACCGGCACAACGCCCCCCTCATGGTAGTAGTAAATATGTTTGGTTGGGGAAATACTTATCTCAAAGCACTTCTAATGTATCAATGTTTGTCTTGCCTGCCATAAATGGAAGGTCCTGAGATTGGTTTCACAAAAACTGTAGCATGATGCTGCCTATCTTGCCCATTAAACGGTTATCTGCTTTTTGAGGAGTGGTTCAGTTTGTAACTCTTTGGAGAGACAACCTTAGTATGTGCCGTCAGAAAATCTCATGGTATCCTTAAACTATTTTCTGTGCTTGAAATTTCTATCATGTATGGCGGATGCTGATTTTTCTGGTTCCGGCTCCCTCACCTACTTTGCTCTTTACATCCCTGACAGCTTGCTTGCTTTAGAAGTAGTAAAGCCAAGGTTGAAGGCATGTATTCACAGAATGAAGTGTGGAAGAGGAACACCAATGACCTTCCAGCAGAGGGGGGAGAGCCAAACCAGGGGGATATGATAGATACACAGGTGAGTATCTGTGCTTTACTGGAGCTGCACAGATGGGCTCATATTTTAGGTCACATGCAAAAATTCCCTGCCACAGCCATTTATGTGGAGAATAAGGCTGGCTTCACATTTGTACATATTCTATAGCCAAATGTGCCCATTTTAATGGCATATTAAATTAAGATTTCTTTATTCATGTATGCCTGGTTTCGCATAGATTGGTTGTGTAAAAACTGGCCTTTTTCTTAGCTACTGGTTGGTACAAAGCTAAAATGTTTTATGGATCTATCTTCCTCGTATCCTAGTTATTAGATTGGGGGATTATATTTGAGTAGAATGATTGGGGCCAACTGAAAGCTTTTGTTTGTAGAAAAATATTTGTAGGAGAAATGAAGAATTGAAGTTTGTCATTTTCTCCTCGTGTGCCCTATGATTATGGGGGTACATACAACTATATGGACTGAGTCTGCTGTTGGTTCTGACCTGGTAGGAAGACCCAGAGACTATTGATCTGGCTGTGCTAAAGGACAGATGGCTAACCAGTGCAATGGAGCATAGCATGCTGGGACATCAGGCAGCTGGCAATACCTGTGGAAAGGTGGAGGAACTTGAAGCAATGGTGCCTGATGGGCACCAGCAGCTACAGGTATGCCATCAGCACTGAGATGCGAGGAATCCTTATGGTTTTATTTCCTTTTTCAAAGTATGTTTGTGATCTAAAGTAGGGTTGGGTGGTTTTTCCAGAAAATCATAAACCGTCTTTATACCGCACAATCGTAATCTATGGTCTGAATTGCAATCATTCTTCCCAATTTTAAAATTTACTGTCAAGAATACCCAGACCTGAACAAGAATAAGGACATATCTATTAGCACCATTTAAAATGCAACATTGCATTGTTTTCAAAATGGTAATTAAATGATGAGTTAAATTTATGTTTTTTCAATTTTAAAGTTGTTTTGGATGCTTTCTTTTAAAGTGGTTGAATAGATTTGTTTTATCTCCGGAAGTGCCAGCCATGGGTCGACAAAGTTTCCAGATAACTTAGCATTATGAAATAGTTGACTCGATATGCCAAATTTGTACCTTGCAAGTCATACAGCACATTTTATGACTTGAACCATGTTTCACAACTTTTCCATCACCCAACCTGTTCCCATTAATATTTCTTTTCACTACATCAGGTTCATTTTACAGATTGAGTAATCTCCACCAGTCTAGAATAGGATATTAAGCTCAATATTCTAATTGTGTATTCTTTGTGTTCTTTCTGTTTAATTAAAGTTCTGCATAGCACCTGTACTTGTGTCTGAGTTTATGGGTCTTGTTAGGTACCGAAGTCATGGTGGGGTGACTAAATAGTGCACTGTTCAGTACTATATATACTCAGCAAAAAAAGAAACGTCCCTTTTTCAGGACTGTGTATTTCAACAATAATGTTGTAAAAATCCAAATAACTTTACAGATCTTCATTGTAAAGGGTTTAAACAATGTTTTCCATGCATGTTCAATTAACCATAATCAATTAATTAACATGCACATCCGAATATCACACCTACGTGACAGGTACAGGATGGCCACAACAACTGCCCGAGTCACACCAGGAACACACAATCCCTCCATCAGCGCTCAGACTGTCCGCAATAGGCTGAGAGAGGCTGGACTGAGGGCTTGTGTGTATATATTAATCAATATGACAGCTCTTTTAAAATGAATCTTAGTGTTATTTTTGCCTATACCATTGAAAAACATTTCATAAAAATATTTCTGATAAAAAAAAAAATGTAATAAAAAATAGTGGCACTAAAATGAATCTTACGATCTTTATTAACAGCCACTATCAGTTGAATACTTGCAGCAGCACAGGCAGGGAAGCCGGCCATTTACACGCTAAACACACGCTAAACACACGCTTTGGCTGGGCTGCCCGCTCTTACGCATCTCAGACTCTCACGCTCACGCAAGAAATCGTACGACAAATCTGTATTTCAGTAAGTCAAAGCACTCGCTACAAAATATCGTATTTGACACCATCTATTCCCTTTTTTGTCGATCCCAAATATAAGACGACGCCACTTTTTCAGATATATTTAGATATTTATGCATATATAAAATGCAGTGTAATTTACAACATATTTGATGTAAATCTGATGTAATTTTAATGAGGGCATCACATACAATCATCTATATAGCAGTGGGTTTGTTTATGGGGATGCTACCTCTCTCACGACGGGAACGAGCCTGTAACCTGTTCCCATGTCCCGTGCCTTTTACACAACTGTCTGCCTTCCTTCTCACACACCGCGAGAAAAGAAGAAGAAGAAGCTCTATGGACAAAAAAAAAAACACTTACAGAAGTAAACACCCGTTTCACTTCCCGCCGTTCAGGCCGTAAACAGTCGAGTTACTCAACAAGTCCGTTCCTGGGCCAAATCTCTGAAGCTCTTTCTTCAGCTCTTTGCATTTACTGTCGTGTCGAACAGGCATGCCACTTCCAGTTTGTGAAGATTTCCTCATTCCTTATGCTGTTTGTATTGCCGTCAGAGATGAGTAAGAGGGTGTGATTAATGTTTTCTGTTGATGAGTTCCCTATTTGACTTCTCTCGCTCTTTCTACAGCTGCCCACATCGGTGTCGGTATCAGCGGCCAGGAGGGTATACAGGCAGTACTGGCCTCCGACTACTCCTTCTCCCAGTTCCGCTTCCTGCAGCGCCTCCTGCTGGTGCACGGCCGCTGGTCCTACCTGCGCATGTGCCGTTTCCTCTGTTACTTCTTCTACAAGAACTTTGCCTTCACCATGGTGCACTTCTGGTTTGGGTTCTTCTGCGGCTTCTCTGCCCAGGTGAGGGGGCGTATGAGAGCTGCCGTCTGTGGACTCCTTCGCATTTGGTTTTACGATGCCATCCCACTCAGACCACTTCCGACGCGTCCCCTTACGTGGGGCCATTTGACCTTCTAGCAGAAGTAACGTGGGCATTATCGGAATCTGAAGTGGTCAGCTGGACAATTTGGAGATGCATCATAGATACTGGTGTAAACGCTGATGTGTCTCAGCTGTCGACTTGTGATCAGGTTGCCCAAGATGCATTTTGAACCCAAGTGTAAACAGGGCTTTAGTTTGCAGTGGGACCAGATTTAGAACAAGCTTATCAGCCCTTTGGCAGAGGGTGGTCATCTGTACGAGTGCTGGATAAACGAAACCTCTTTCATTGCCTGACATGTGGCTGTTTTCTTCTCAGACGGTGTATGACCAATACTTCATCACCCTCTACAACATCGTGTACACATCTCTACCAGTCCTAGCTATGGGCATTTTTGACCAGGTATACGAAAAAAACCACCCACCTCCGTGTTATGCCTGAAAAAATGATGTTCCTCCTTCCACTCTACATCTCCAGATGTGGTCTTTTTGCCTCCCCCCCCCAGGATGTCCCAGAGCAGCGCAGTCTCGAATACCCCAAGCTGTACGAGCCAGGCCAGCTCAACCTGCTCTTCAACAAGAGGGAGTTCTTCATCTGCATCGCGCAAGGCATCTATACCTCGGTGGTGCTCTTCTGCGTGCCCTACGGGGTTCTGTCCCAGGCCACGCGCAACGATGGCATCCCCCTAGCCGATTACCAGACCTTTGCAGTCACCGTGGCAACCTCCCTGGTTATCGTGGTTAGCGTGCAGGTGAGGCCCACTTGTTGGCATGGCAACATTGTTATTTTTGACTGATGTCAGAACTGTTGTCTTGACGGTCTGGAAGCAGGGGTGTAGGGAGCAGTTCTGGGCCCTCTGACATAATGTCACTTTTGCCCCCCTAGTTTCATGCCACCTGATGTAGGGGGGGGGGGCTATTATTCAGGGCCCTCTTCAGTCCTGCAGGGAAAATTCCTGCCCTCCATAACTGGAACTCACTAAGTCGGGGGGGGGGGGTAATTTTAAGAAGTTCCTGTTTTGCAACCAAAAAGAAATATTGCAACTAATTACTTTGATCTTTTTGTTCCACTTAAGATAAGATCTATAGCCTCTAACTTGGCTCTTCCTGTTTTTGTGACAATAGACCATAAGGACTTTCACTGCCCTACTGGGTCTTGGCAGAGATGTCTAGATATTCTTAATACAGGAGGAATAGCCATAGATGCCCCTCCTGCTGTGTGCTACATCTTCGGTCCTGCCTGTGACTTGTGGATTTTCAATTCATTTGATTAGAAAGTTTATCTAAAGGACAGGAAGGTTTGCGAAACATAACTGAAAGATAAGCCAGTAACCTCTATGCGTCTTCATTATCATGGTCCTGATTCATGCTATCTGTGAGGTTAGTGGTCATATGCAAATGACAACGATCTAGGAAAATACTGATCACTGCTGTATCAGCACAGATACTGCTAACATCATTGAGGGCATTGTGTGTAACGGGGATGAGGCCTAAAGTGCCCTTTCATTTGTATTTTGGGTTTAGATTGCACTGGACACCGGCTACTGGACGGCCATCAACCATTTCTTCGTATGGGGCTCCCTTGGTGCCTACTTTACCATCTTGTTTGCCATGCACAGCAACATACTCTTCAGCATCTTTCCAAACCAGTTCCACTTTTTTGGTGAGACGCTGCATTCTTCTTCACACTGCATATACATTCTTCACACTGCACAAATCCCACTGTCGTTACTAATGTATCCACTTTAGAAACCAGAGTCACTCTGAACACTGTACTCAAACTGCACAAATCTCACTGTCATTACTAATGCATATGCTTTACAAACTAGAGTTACTCTGAATACTTTACTTAAACTGCAGGAATTACGGTTACATTTCCACTGTATCCACTTTAGAATCTGGAGTCACTCTGAATGCTGTACTTAAGCTGCATGAATCCCAGTGAAATTACCACTGAATTCACTTTTGAAACTAGTCGCATTCAAACTGCACAAATTCCTCTTTTGTGTTAGGGATACTAACCACCATTGGGTTTTTTCTGTATTTTCCTGTTTCTTACTGCAGGCAGTGCTCAGAACACCCTGATACAGCCGGTGGTGTGGCTAACCATCGCTCTGGCGACCGTGGTCTGCATCGTTCCAGTCCTGGCATTCCGCTTTCTCAAACTTGACCTTAAACCTCAGCTCTCAGACACGGTAGGATTGTCTGTTTTTTAGAGATGGGTCCCAAATTTCACCATTCTACCAATGATTAACATTCAAAAGTTGTGTCAACAAACCTTGGTCTGTACTCCACAAATATTGGCTCAAGTGAAGGACGTCATCTCCCTGGCTATCAGATGCTCTGAAGTGCGGGTATCCGGTGTTGATGATGGATGGTCTGTCACTAATAAATTGCCCTCCCCATCCAAATCTTTCTCCTCTCCAGGTGCGATACACCCAACTCGTGCGTCAGAAGAAACGGAAGCCAGGAGGACGTGGTGGGCGTGGTGCCCATGGAGGCGTGGCCGGGCTGGGAGGCGGGGCTCTGGGTCGGCTGGGCCGGGCCGGCTCACGGCGCTCTGGCTACGCCTTCGCCCACCAGGAGGGCTTCGGGGAGCTCATCACCTCAGGGAAGAACATGCGGCTCAGCTCCTTGGCGCTAGCCACCTTCGCCTCGCGCCACAGTGCCAGCTGGATCGACACGCTGCGGAAAAAGAAGCAGCAGCCCCCCCAGCCCGGGGGGGAGGGCAGCCCGGCCTCGTCCTACACTGCTCCCCTCTCCACCTCCTCCTCCATGCTGGGACCCCCAGATACCCAGGCAGAAGAGACGGGGAACACCCCGCTGGGCCTGGCCCCCTCTGGCAGCAGCAGTGCCGTCACTCCCACCCCAGTGAGGAGTCCGGGGGGAGAGTCAACTGGAGGCTGGGTAGTCAGCCTTGGAGCTGTGCAGGTAACACCCACTGCATCAGCACCAGTGTCTGGCTTAACGTCTCGCATATCATTTCACGTATGAGGGGCAGCGCAGTGGTGCAGTGCTTAACGTCTNTGTGCATGTTAATTAATTGATTATGGTTAATTGAACATGCATGGAAAACATTGTTTAGACCCTTTACAATGAAGACCTGTAAAGTTATTTGGATTTTTACAACATTATTGTTGAAATACAGTCCTGAAAAAGGGACGTTTCTTTTTTTGCTGAGTATAGTAATGTACTTTCTTATTACTGTATTAAGTTGGTAATGTTTTACTGTGCGTAATTAAACTTTATCCTATGTACAGTGGTACCTCAGTTCTCGAACTCATTAGGACTCGAATTTCTTAAGTCGAACCAACCAGTTTGAAAAAAAAAATTAGCTAGAACTTGATCTGAATCTCAGAAGTCAAACTGTGAATGCTGACCTAAGAGAACTTGTAGGCGCGGGGAATTGAGTCACGCGGCACGTCTCTCAGCAGAAACAATGGGTAAAGCTTCAGTCTCAGCCTCGCATGTGCTGTGATAGCACCGTGCGTGTTTACACTAGCTGAATACATATATTTAGACAGTAGAAATACATTTAGACAATGACAGACAGTAACAGTAATTATTATATAATAAAATACATTTAAAAATAAAGACTTAATTAATTTAATATTACCAATAAACTATTAATACATTTAATTATAATAATATTGTCGTGCCGAGCAGGGACGGAACGGAGACAAAGGCGCAGATGTCAGGTTATCGGGGAATACGGTGTTTAATTACAGGTAAGGCAGGCAAAATGCAGACAGACAATACAATGACCGGACTGGGGAAACAAACTGAAACGCGGACAAAATACAGAGGACTAATGACAACCAGAAACAGCTGATCACATGGGGTTAACGAGGGGGCATGGCACACGGAAGGAGCGGATGATCGGGGCAGGACAAATTGTTTTTTTTTAACTTTACACATTGTTTGGGTACATTTATTTTCTTACTTTACAAAATACTGTTTTGATAAATGTGCTTTGATGTGTTTAGTGCAGTATATGCTGCTCTTGTTTTATCCGGTTTGTGTTTAAATGCTAAAAAAAACATATTAGGTGTAATTTTTTGGGGCCGGGAACCAATTAATTGGTCTTCCATTATTTCTTATGGGGAAAATTCGATCACAACTTGAACTTTTTAGGATTCGATCCGGAGTTCTGAATGGATTAAATTAGATTTCTGAGGTACCACTGTATATGAAAATCATGTTACACAGTCCCCAGATTATGAACAAGTTCTGTTCTCTAAATTTGTCCTTATATCAAATTTGTAGGCAAGTCAGAAAAATAATACAGTACACGATATTAAATAATAAAAGTAACCACATAGGGTACTGTACTGCTCGTTGAGTCGACAAACCACTGCAGCCGTGCAATGTTTTCTTTAGAATGGCAGTGCTGTGCGTGCATTTGTCTTAATTGTATCAAACCCAGATTTGTAATGTGATAGGCTTTTTGGCAGTGAGGTTTGTAAGTACGAGTTATCTGCAAGTTGGACGTTCAAGTTGGACCACCTGTATATATGGGGTTCGCAGATGGTTCACTATTATCCATGTTTTTGGCTATTCATTGTCTTGGAACATATCACTCGCGTATATGGGGGTACTACTGTACTTTTATAAAGTTGCATTAACTTAAGTCTTGCTTTTAAATGATTTGGGGGAAAATTTAGTATTGTATCACATTTCAATAAATATACAAAAAGAAACCGGCATGGAACTAATAATTGGTTTCGTTTTGTAGTGCTGTTGTGGGGCTTAACATGGCCATCTCCTTTTATAAAAAAAATAAAAATAAATACTGAATGTTTGTGTAGAATGTGAATAATTTACTTTAAGAAATTCTGGGATGCTGATTTTTTTCCCCCTTCATCTCCTTCATACTTTTTTGCCCGTATAAATGGGATTTGGGTCTTAAATTGCAATCATAAATGGTCTTGAAAACATATTAATGTATTACATTTAACTTGTTAGCTCACACAGATTTTCTGCAGATTATCACCATGGCGAGTGAGGAAGTGTGGTATGGATTGTGTAGTGACATGTTATTAATGGCCATTGAAGTATTATGTTTAAGTTTGGAAATAGGACATAAAAGATCACAATCTCTTCGCTTTGCAAGAAAAGTAGATCGTGGACATTTGCTCATGATATAAAATCATTGAATCACCTATCCCCAATCTAAAGTATCTTTATTGTAATTCATGGGTCACAGGCCAAGATGAAATTACGATTTCGTTGGTCGTAGCGCAAGAAAAAGTGATATCATTTATACTTATTTTAAACACTGACAATCTGGCAATTTAAACCCGGAATCCTGTGACATGACATTGAGAAATACAATAAAAATAGTTTTAAAATGGTTGCAAATTCGCATGAGTTACATGGGCACTTGTGCGTGCGTGTGTGTGTTTGTGAATGTGTATATATAGCACCATTTTTATGGTGATGCTAGTAGATGTATGTTCATGATTAGAGGTCGACCGATATTGAATTTTACCGATACCGATAG